TTAATATATATACTAAACTAATATATATACTATATATATATATATATATTAAGTATTATATATAGTATATATATCTATTATATAGTATTATATATATATTATATATATATATATATATATATATATATATATATATATATATATATATATATATATATATATATATATATATATATATATATATATGTATATATATATATACAAATACACAATATATATATTCATCTCCCACACACACTCACAGCCCCACATGTTCTATTCTGATCTGAATATTACTTCTCTACAGGATGACTTCGCTCGGGGTCTGGGCTTTTTCCTGCCGCTGTTCACCGTGTTCTCATTTCTCTACCCCTGCGCCATGATCACCAAAAACTTAGTAATGGAGAAGGTATGAATATCGCACAGAGATATGGAACTAGCATTCATATCTGGTTTAAACGGTTAGTTAGGAGTTTGAAGCTCGGTGCATGTGGCAGATATGTCCTCCGGTCGAATCATATACTCATCACGCATTGTGATCGTACGGAAAAATCTTTATGAGCCTGTACTCTTTTGACACTACTTTCGAGCCCGAGTAGAAAGTGAAGTAGGTGTAACACACAATACTCACTCCAAAAAACAATGGTCACTCAGAATTAGACACATAATGCTCTCACACTATTACTCACACTATTACATACATGTGCGTGGTCATAGGAGTTACGTCTCCGTGAAGCTCAGCGATTGATGGGCTGCAAGAACCGCACCTTCTGGTTCAGTTGGTGGGTAGTCTCGTTCATGATTCTGGGTTCGTCCACGGCCTTTGTTGGCATGATGCTCTTGGTAAGCTTGTTGGGAACACCAAAAGAGAAAGCAAAATAGATTCAATGGTGGTATCATTTCTGTATGTGTTGTATGTATGATATATATATATATATATATATATATATATATATATATATAGTGTGTGTGTGTGTGTGTGTGTGTTTATATATATAAATACATGTATATGTGTGTCATATATATATGTATATATGTATATATATATATACAATATATATATATATATATATATAATATACACGCACATATATATATATATATATATGTACATATATATATAATGCGTATGTCTATTTATATATATACAGTTTTAGTTCTCTCATACCCATAGTAAATCTTTTATACCCATCCCAAATCATCTCCACCTATGCCAACCCTTTAGCTGACAAAGGTAGTCAGCGACACCTCAGCTGCAGTGATATACATCCTGTTGTACTGCAACGTGTTGGCCACCATCTCTTTCGGGTTTATGGTCAGCAGTTTCTTCTCCCGCGCAAAAGTAGCAGCCGCCATGGGTGCATGTTTGTACTTCATATTCTACATCCCGTACTTCTTCATATCGCCTAACGCGCGCTACGACTCACTGGGGAATGGTGCTAAGTTGTTGGTCTCGTTTTTCTCGCCCACGGCGTTTGGATTGGCCACCAAGGTCATCTCGGGGTACGAGGAACAGGTGAGAGATTCTGATTAACAGGTGAGAGATTCTGATTGGTGGTTATTTTCAGAATGGATGCCTCGGTGTGTGTATGGTATTTGATGCTTTGCTTTCTTTAGTCCCTTTTTTGTTGAAAAACGTTTTTTGTCTAAGCACCATCACCGCAACCCTTGTCTCGGTGTGTTTGTGCGTGTTTCTCCATACAACAACATGAAACATACTACCGGCCATTTTTCTTTAAAAGGGTATTTTGGATGCAAAATAAACTTAGTTTTTCTCTTCTGTCCTGCAGGGAAAAACCCTGGACATGAGCAACTTTAACGAGCCCGCCACCTTCAACGACGACTTTACCGTGGCCATGGCGTGTGCAATGCTTTTAATAGACACAGTGCTGTACTTCCTGATCACCATGTACCTAGACAATGTGTTCCCAGGAACGTACGGTATCCCGCAGAAGTGGTACTACTTCGTTAGCCCAACTTACTGGCGAGGCCCGAAGGGCGGGCAAATAACCGAAACCGACGATGTGGATGGAGCAGTGGAAGGAGATGATATGGAGAGAGTATGCTCGTAGTCTCGTTTTTTTATTTTATATATTTACATATATGTATTATATATTATATATACACACATATTTATATATAAATATATATATATATATTTAAATATATATCTAT